GGGGGGGGGGGGGGGGGGGGTTTTCATGAGTCCGGCTGGATACTGCACCCTGGTTCCCCAGGAACACAGAGATGTCTGGTATCAAAGGCTTCAACATAACAGGCCTTAGCCAGAGAAACTGAGGCCTTGGCTACACTGGCAATTCACAGCGCTGCACTTGCTGCGCTCAGGGGTGTAAAAAACCACCCCCCTGAGCACTGCGAGTGCAGCGCTGTAAAGCGCCAGTGTAATCAGCGCCTGCAGCGCTGCACGCTCGCTTGCAGCGCTGCATGCTATTCCCCTCGGAGAGGTGGAGTACTTGCAGCGCTGGGAGAGAGCTCTCGCAGCGCTGGTGGCGCGACTACACTCGCGCTTCACAGCACTGCCGCGGCAGCGCTGTGGATCCGTGAGTGTAGCGAAGGCCTAAATGATGATGATCGCTGAAATTCAATGAAGGGGGATTTTCAGAAGCCTCCAATCCAATCACAGGTGCAGGGCTGACAATGGCTCCTGCCTTTGTTTGCTCCTAAGTAGCAGACTGCATCAAAGTTCTCCCCACCTGTCCGTTTGACTCATCCTTTAAAATATGACAAAGTAAAACAAAGACATTATGAACATTCAGTTACTAACAGTCAAATGGCTGGTACATTTACCTATCACCTGCCAAGAGTTCTCTTTCTTAGAGTTTGTTTTCTTTTTCATTACGATGAAGTATTATAATAATTATTAATGTCGTTCCTCACTTAGAACAAAAGTATCAGAGGGGTAGCCGTGTTAGTCTGAATCTGTAAAAAGCAACAGAGAACAAAAGTGTAAGTTATATTGTCTGGCATCATTTTTTCCTATAAAAAGTGTCCAGTTTGCTGGACGGATCTTAGACTTCGTAACTAGTTAATTTCACATCATCTTAAACTGTGTAATGCCATAAAAATATAGATAGACCCGGCATAAAACAGCAACTGTTCTAGAAATATCCATTTCCAAACCAAATATGCTGAAAGGGAGACAAGGTACGTAAGGTAATATATTTTCTTGAATATATTTTATTGTGTTGATGGAAGAGAAGCTTTTGAGCTTCCCAGAGCTCTCTTTCCAGGGTGTAACAGCTAAAGGTGGGACAGATTGTTAAGCATAAGCAGTTAACACATGTTGCAATAAACCATTTAAACAAAGTGGGCAATTAACACCTCTGCAAGTCAGAGGACAAAGCAGGGTTAGTAGGTTACAAACGGTTGTAATGACTGGTACAACCGGTGTCTCTGCGGAGTCTACGAGTTAGGGGTAGTCTACACAGGCAACGGTGAAGCACTGCTATGGCAGCGCTTTACTGTGACTTGTGTGGTCGCGGCAGAGCGCTGGGAGAGAGCTCTTCCAGTACTCTAAAAAACCCACCTCCACAAGGGGTGTAGCTACCAGCCAGTGTAGACAAGCCCTTAGTATCTAGCAGAGTTATGAATTTAAGGGAAAGTCTACACTTAAACAGCTGCACCTGAGCTGCTGTAGCGCTTTAGTGAAGACACTACTACGCCAACGGGAGAGCTTCTATGCACAGCCCAGGGAATTGGTTCTGTTGCTTTCAGGGCCTTGCACAGCCACAGGGTATGCATGTGTAAGTGTGGGGGGAAGAGTCAAGTCTCATGGTATCCCCTGAGGTAGGTATTTTTCCCATTTTACAGATGCAGAAAGTAAGGCATAATTACCCAGATCCTCCAAGATATTTAGGCTCCAAACTTCCATTGAAATCAGGAGCCTGAATACCTTTAAAATCAATGGACATTAAGAGCCTAAATACTTTTGAGGATCTGGACCATAATGTTTAAGTGACTAGCTCCAAAGTCACATAGTGAGACACACACAGACACACACACTCTCTCTCTCTTGCGGCAAGCTGACATAGCCATGGCAGAGACACTCAAGCAAACCCCTGCTCCAGGTGCTTGTGCATAGTAAATAAAAGACCAGACAACTCACCCCTGTCTCCTGTGCAGCTGCAAAGAAAAAGAAACAACCTCATCAGAAAACAGTCTGGTGCATTTTGTATTGACACGTTTCTGTATTAATGTCCCAGAGCCAAGTCCTGCTCTTAGACGCAGGCACAGCTCTCTTCGATTCAGTGGGGCCATGTGTGTGATCATCCACAGAATGTGGCCCCACGGTGCAGTAACTGCGCTTTGCACTACACTTAGCAGCATCTTGAGGGATCACCCCGCTGGGAGAGGAAGGTGGTTAGGTGACAATGCTAATCCAATGTGATTTTGGGCTCTAACAATGCTTTGCATTGATACAGCACCTAACTACTAAGGATCTCAAAGAGTTTTGCAAACAGCAAACCACACAACCCGATAAGGGGGCATTATGTCAAACAGCTACACTATGGCACAGGGAAATTGAGCGATTTGCCAAAATTCACACCTCTGGTCATCGGCAGAGCTGAGAATATTATCCAGGCGTCCTGATTCCCAGTCCCCAGCTAGAACCAGTAAACAATGTTCTCTCTTGGACCTGAGAACACGTTCCTCTCTTGGTGGATAAATGATGGGGCAAAACTGAGATGCTGATTTCTGCAGCAGTAGCAGGTTATGAGTAGAGCCCAAACTCCCGTTCCATTAACATCACTGCTCCCCCAGAGAATGAAAAGGGAACTTTGTAAGCACGTATCAGATACAAGCGGGAAAGATCATCAGGAGAGGAGAACTGGTCCAGGTTGCTTGGAGAATGTGAACAGCTGGTATTTCTAGCCACTGGGGAATCTGGCCTGGGAAAAAGGCCGGTTTTGGCCGTGATTTGTGGGGGGGAGAGGATCTTCCCAAGCTGGGCAGGGGGCTTGTCCACTGCAGCTGGTGTGATAGCACAGCACCCTGGACTGGGGACCAGCCAGTTCACCTTGATTAGTAAGTCAAATTTAGGGCCAGTGGATCTTAAAGGCAACCCCATAAAGAAGATAGATTTAGACTCTCACAGGGATTCTCAGTTTGAAGAGGCAATTCCAGTTACAGGTTGGCATGTTCCAGGGTGAAACATAGACCAATGTGCCAAATACAAATTCTGCCAATCTGACCCCTTTAGAGACCTTTTGACGGGTTTCACAGGTCCCACGCTTTTCTGACTTACGTGTTCCCCCATATTTCCTCTTCCCCCTCCTCCATAAAAAGAACACTGTTCCAGCAAATGCAGATAAAAGTGAGAGAGCAAGGACTATTAGCACTGCTATCGCTGTGGTAGAAAGGCCTCTTTGTACACAAACTGCATCAGAAGTGGCTGTCCCAGCCTTTTCTTCTCTCATCCCTTCCTCTTCACACCTAAGATGAAGGAAGACATGTTATTAAACGTGTCAGCGTATCCACAGCCTTCTCACGGTCTCGGGGTACCCATCATTCCACCAGGTGGATTCCTTAATATAGTGGATCAAATATGACAAGACCTCATCCAGATTCTGGGCCTGATCCTGCAGTCTCTGGCCAGGCCAAACTCCCACTCATTTCAAGGCTGCAGGATTTGAGCGGTAGACACCTGCACATTGGAAAATTAAGTTATAACGGGCCCAAACTGTTAACAGAACATAGGATGACACTGAAAAATAGAAATACAATAAATTCACTGTACTGACCTCAGAAGTTTTTACCTGTCCACACCTCAGCGTAGAGTTCTGTGTTTTCAATGCCAGTGTCACTGATGTACCCAAGCAGAACGGGAAGTGTTGCTACCACGCTGACTTGGGAACTTCTCAGATAATCATCCATTGCAAAGCAAACACTAACTGAGCCGAAGGGCCAGATTCACCCTTGCTCTACAGCCCCTTTGCACTGGGGCTGTGGGACAGATGGGCTGTGCGGTTCGGATAGGACCTCAGCTGGTGCTGGTGGGCCATGATGGCGTGGGGGGCAGGCCAGAGATGGATTGGCCCAGGGAGGGGGCATGTCCAGGGAAGTTCTGCACCCCATTAGTGGCCCCTAGGGGGTCATGGCCACTGGTAGGCCTCAAAACTAACCTAGCCTGCGTCGGGGCTGAACTGGCCGCTAGATGCCCATGCCAAGGAAGCAGAAAGGTCTTTAGGACGTGGTGGATAATCGAAGGAGGAGCTGGTTTTCAAATCTTTATATTTGCAAATGCTGCCCGCTCCTGTGTGACCACGGGGCTCTGGCCATGGAATTGGGGCTGTTACACTGCATGGGTGGCCAGTCCCAGAATGGCCCAGGGCCTGGTTCCACACAGTCTCTCCACCATGTCACTGGGCTCTGTGCAGGGAGGATCTGGCAGAGGGGGCTGCAGTTGGAATCCACCGGCCATCCCATGTCATGGTTATAAACACCCCCAAGGTGAATCCAGACCTCACGGAGAGCGTCCAGGATACAGAATGGGATTCCTGGGGAAAGGATTTCCCCAACACACAGCTCACAACCCTACTGATTTAGGGTTACGTTTCCCAGCTACTGAACTTCAGGGCATCTCTAACCAGGTCTGATAGAGCCACAAAATTCAGGTACAAAGAAATAACAATGAATGAAAGGAGAGAACATAGCGTGTAAAGTCAGTGCAAGGGAAAAGGCCATGTGTAGTCAGAGTCACCTACCTGGTCCATGGCTGACAGGTGTATGACATGTTGGTTGCTGAGAAGGTTCCATCAGGGCAAACCTCACATACGTTGTCAAGGAATTCTGTGCCTATAAAAGAGGACGACATAACAGGATTCTTTCCTGAATGTGGGGCCTAAAGGAGCTTTGATTTCAGAAAGGTCTCCATCCGCATCTCCCCACTCTCACCACCACCACCACCACCACGTTGCAGAGCCATCTCGGTTTGATCAGGAGTCAGCACTTTAAGAATAGATCTGCGCTGGCATTTTATTCCTGCCCTATACTTAAATCCGTCAGTACTCATAGAGCACAGGTACATGGGGGAATGCATCTCCTGCTGCCCCACATGCCTGGGCCATTACAAGGGCCAACATCCCAAAGGGATAGTAAGACTCAAAATAATGGTGCCAAGTTGTGTAGTAGCACAAAAGCTGCAACAGAACACAGCAGTGAGGGGGTTAAATGCCCAAAGGACACTGATAAGGCATGAAGATAAGGCAGCTGGAATATGAAAATATTTAAGACTTATCCTGCCGTGATATCAATTCATGCTGGGATGTGGTCAGCGCTCACAAGCTAAGCAGGTGCTGGCTGGGAGACATGGGTGAAATCCTGGGAAACTCTCTCAATCCATCATCTTCAGAGGGGCCAGGATTACACCCCAAAATGTGTCTGGAAGTGATGCTGCCACCTACTACTTCTACCCTAGGTGCCCAAACACTATGGTGATGGGTCATGTAAGTAGACAGATACACTGGTGCAAGGAGAAGCTGTGGTTCTGGCTGTGTACACATCTCCCACGTACACATCTCCCAACCAAATTCCTGTTTGAGGAATTACATTCCACTTACCTACATTCCACTTGTATTTAACTGAATATAATATTCTTCACCTTCTAACCTAACCAAGTGCAAGGCTGTGAATTCTCAAATAGCTGCCTGCTTCCACCCCAGGATGGCCACATTTCAGGGCTGGATGAAACCATCCCTGAATATAGTCTGGAGATCGTTTTATTACCTTTGGAAAGACCTTGGAACTGGAAATGTAACAACTATCATAGGACACTATCATGGATATGAAGTTTTATTCTGAAGCCTCCAATTCCATATGGGGGAACGGGGGGGGGCCGCGGCATTCGGATTCTGGGACTTGGACTTGCAGACCTATGTGTATATTAGGACTTAGAGCCACCGCAGTAATTACCCCGGTGGTGCATGTCCACACTCCCCTCCTTGGGCCAGTGGGGCATGTCCTCACCAGGAAGGCTCCCACCGACCTCAGAGGGGCAGTGTGGGACGCTGACAGCCCGGTCTCTCAGCTCTGCTGGCAGTTCCGTGCGAGGAGCCTGGCAGCCCGACAGGTTCCTGGGCTCCTGGCAGGCTGCCTCCCCCCATCCTCTGTTGACACTGACATAATGAGGTCCCTTTCTAGAGTGTCATTATAAGGCGCCCGTTTGCTTTTTCCTGCACTTCTCTGCAACCTCCCTTTCTGTCGCAGTGTAGAAATGCTACTGAACAGCCTGGGTGACGTGTGAATGGAACAACAACACACACTCGGCTTCTCGCCAGCAGCTCCCATCCCAGTACCTCAAAGTGCGTTAAGCTCACATCACCCCCCTCAGTATCCACCTTCGGAAACACGCCTGGCTGGACAGTCAAGCTCATTAGTTATAGGAGCAAAGAACCATGAGGTACTTTTGGTTAGTCTGGAACTCACATGTGCCCTTGATCAAAAGCCTTAACAATGGACCCTGGCCTGGATCCACACCCGCTCTCTCTGTAAAGGGACTTGTGTCTACAGCAGTGATGTACTCCAATGTAATTAATGGGGAAAAGGTGTTGCTGAACAAGTCTGTTGCACCTTGGGAGCTCCAAAGGCGGCAATGTTTGAAGAAAGGGGTGTGTTTAGCACACTTGTATTCCTAACAGAATTCTGTGCCCAAAAGTGTGCTTGAGGGAGCTCTGTTTGTACAAGCTGAAGCTGAACTCACACTGCACTCTGCTGCTGTGTAGGTGGGCTGCCAACATGTGTGAGTACAAACCCACAGCCTCATGCAAATTTCTGCCTGCAAGAGCATCATGTGAGTGCCCAACGACACCCAGAGGAGTCTGAGTTCATCACAGCCTGTGACACACTTAACCTTGCCCTGTATATTTCATGCTTGTTTCAGAGGCAGATGGCAGCTTTGTGTCTGCCCTGGAAGGTGAACATAACCCAGCTCCAGGGCAGGGCCCAGGGCAGGGAATAGCAATTCCAGAGTGGAGGACCCCCAGCAGCTTTCTCGCTCCCATCCCCC